AGCATCCCCAGAAATCTCACCATGATGGGCTTAGGCAAATCTTTCACTTTCTTTTCTTTCTTCTTGTCTTTCTTTTCTTTTTTCTTCTTCTTTTTGCTGCCACCTTGGGCTTGCAGCTTCTCCCGCTCCTTTGTCACTAGGTCTCGGTAATGTTCATCGCTTGGATGGTCCCAACTGGACTGGCCAGTGGAAAAGTTAAAGTAATATATATCCCCTGTAACATCCTGACTGTGGGGGTTACAATAATGGAGGAAACAAGACATGGTTTTAAAAATAAATGAGATCAAATCTGCAGGAAGTGAACGTTTTATCAGAGTATCTGACTTACCATGGCTTCCATTCTGGCGGTAATGGTGCCACAATGCCCTCCCGAGCTAACCACATGAGCTCAGGCTCAGAGTCTGGGTCTATTCCAATCATCCGTGCATATTCCAGAATTTCTGGAGGTAATTATACAATACATTTAGGATAAGGATACGCAGTAAACAAACACACACACATATATACATACATACATACATACACACACACACACATACACATTTATATATTGTATTAACTGTCCCTATTAGCACAATTATAATAAATGCAGCCGTCTTGATTTCATATGTAAAAATATTATTTGGGAGTCCAGACCAACTCCCTTGGTTTTGCACCCCTCCCTGGGCCCAATTTAACCTTGCACTGCAGAGAGTCCCAGTAGGATGGATTTCCCAAGTAACTGGGTTAATCTCATAAGAGCAGGCATTAGGTTTTGAGGAAAATAGATTAAAAAACTGGGATACATTTTTTGTTTGTCTTTTTAAATTTAGTGAGCTTTGAAGTTTGTGTTTAGCGAGGGAGTGAGAGTGCCATGAATCTTGTGTGTTGCTTGAATTGGCCCAAGAAGCACCCTAGTAATGTATGCATTTTGGGGTTGTTTTTTTTATAAAATTGCAAAAAAGGATAGCACCCTAAGTTTTTTTTTTAGAAAATTAAAACATAACTTTTATTTAATGTTTCCGATTTATTGAAAATCTTTCATCAGGACCAGACTATTTTAAGCTGACATTTGAGTGCAGATTTCCTAACGTGTGTGTGTGTATAGAGTGATTGATCATAATAGATGGAATAGATCTACAGAGATAGAGATAGCTAGATATATCCAGTGATGTAGATGTAAAAAAACAGATAACATTCATATCTTGTAGTACCTTTTTTATTAGACTAACAGAATTTTCCCCTTTCTTAAGTCTAAAGCATTTCTGAGCAAGATGACACATAGAATTCAAAGTTGAGTTGAGATACAGGGGTTAAAGAGACATGAGTGCAGAGAAGACACAGGTTTGATAGAAAATAGACACCATTCTCGCAGAGGGTCGTAAATATCTTGTGTGAAGATCACAGATGGGGACAAACAAATAGTGCAGAAGATGGGGAGCGCACACACTTCAATTCTATGTAATATACATGGTCTTCCTCCTCCAGTGCTATAAATGTCTCTTTTAGACAGTAATGTATCACACATACCTTGCTCCTGTGGTATATAACTTTCATCATAATCTTCTTCCAGGATCAGCTGATCCCCAATGCGAATTGCAGAAGCTGCCATGACGTCTGGCTTCCAACAAACAACCACCAAAATGAAAAAACAAAAAGACACACATTTTCAAGAAAAGCTAGCAATAAAGTATCCTACCCAGTCATCCTTATGGGCATTAAAAATATACCTCTAAGTGAAAATAAAGCACTTTCTATTTAGAACAAGGTTTTCCAAACAACAGTACAGAAAAAAGAATGAAAGATTAACTGCCTGGGTGGGATAAAAATGATGGCAGAGCTAAAGAACTACTCTGTGGATGGGTTCTAGTGCAGGGAATGATGCTATTCTAAACAACAAATAAATTCCTCAGGCGCTCAGTGTCAAAGCCGCACGCAGGTTTAATGAAACAAAAAGGCAGACACAGACATAGTGGAGGTTTTTTTTGTATCTTAATATACCTCTGCAGCACTAGTCTCCACAGTAATTGCTGCTAGAACACTTCTTGGGGTACAAGAAAAAGAAGAGTCTCTCTTTAAAGAATTGATTTACCCCACACTAAAATATAAATTTTACATACAACAGCGTTAGGCCTTTCAAGATCTGACCATCAGCATGAACAAGTGACGTGCTCAGGAATATATCATGGGTCTGACAGACCTTGTTAATGGGTCGTTTTCAGCATCATCCAAACTTGGCATTATTGCTCTAACATTGACTTGGACCTATAGTGATTTGTAAAAATTGCTGCAGCTCTAAGACAGTCCCCTCCGAGCTGTCAGTCAGGCAGCCAGGATGTACAGTTTGGGTTATGTGATGTCAATTTAGTCCACATTGTGCAAACATCATATGCATGACTACACAGAGCTCTTTCTTTCGCTCAAAGAAGAATACCAGCCACGTCCTGTGAGTGCGAGACACCAGCCAGAGACAGTGTACCGGCTGCGTAATCACAGCTCACAGTCCAGTGTACGGGACAATGTGTCAATTAATAGTGCCATATTCTCACACTGTGGCCGCCTGCTCTCCTTACCTGCCCCCCCCCTTCCTCTCCTTACCTGGCCAGTCTGCTCTCCTTACCTGGACCCCTGCTCTCCTTACCTGGCCTCCCCCCTGCTCTCCTTAC